ATTAATAAGTTGTTGAATTTGAAAGCTTTCTTAAGAGAGATTTTCATGACCTCAAGCTTATAAGAGAGATTTTCTTAAATTATCAGTCACTACATTTTTTTTATCACTGGAGAAGTTGAAAGATGTATGAAATGAATGAACAAGGAATTGTCAATTGATCCCTACAATATAAGAAGACAAACAAACTAATTTGATTCAAAAGACATTTTATCTTGTGAAATAAGAATCTTTTTGAATTGGTTTTTGGATGACAGTAATATTAGTTCTACTTAGTAGAGATGTTTGTGGTGCGTGGCCTGATTATTTTTCACTGTAGCCTTTATCCTGTTTAGGGTGTTGCATGTGATATGCAGACTGATTAGTTGTTAGTTCTAAAAATTTTAATGATTTACTGATTACATTTGGGGTTGGTATGATGAATCCTGTTTTGTCATGCCTAGATATTTTGTTTCCCTCCTCTACTTTTATGTCTTTCCTCATAAGCTCAGCCCATGTGCTTTTTGGCCTACACCTTTGTCTTGTAGCTCCTTCAACGGGTATCATGTACTTTGTATTTTTCTTGGTTTTGTTTATGGGGAGGATGCATATTTAAAGTATAAATGTCTCCATTTATAAACATTTGGAGATTTAATTGAGAGCAGTTTCATGTCTCTTACATTTTGCTTACAACCCCTGTTTAAATTGAAAAACTGGCTGCGTTGACAAGACTTTACTTTAAACTTCTGTGTTGTGTTTATAAAGGATGCACTGTGGTATCTCACTTATGTGATGCTCCTTGTGTGCATATGTTCTGGATATACTATGAATATTATAATCAGTATTTGCAAGCTATAATATTCGAATGATTCAATTCATTTATGACTTTCACTCATGCAGATGCTTAAGATGGTGGCAGCAATATTCTTGGTAAGGCTAATTGTACATTGTCTCAGGTATTGAATTCCTGCCTTTCACTTATACCCATCATACTATTCTAGTTCCATGAAATTTCCTTGATCTTGTTTATTCTGAATGTGTTTTAGGATGTCACGTGGAAGTGAAATGGTTCGCTCTTTCATTTGCATTGAATTTTTGAGTTGATTTAAACATTTCAACACATTCTTCATTGGAATCAGCAAAATTGATAAAGAAAATGAAAATCAGGTTCTTCATTGAAAAAAAAAAAACAAACAAACCGAGCAATGTATTTCCTTGCTGAATGACATGAACAAAAGAATGTTCTGATTTTATTTCCTTCTTGTTTCCCTACTGTTGCTATACCATGCATAAGTTGACTAGTCTATATTTGATATGTGCTCTTATTTATTAATTAATTTTTGTATATGTGGTATTGCTTTTCAAATTTTTGAAATTGATAGCAAGTGTTTCATGTTCTTGCTGTTTTTTTCCCCCTCGTGTCCTGGTTGATTTTCTTCTTTCTTCTCATCCAAAACATGATGCGATGGTCTAAAACAACTGGTTAGCTAAATGTCATGATTATATTAATGAAAAGACTAGTCCAAGTATTGACAAAGAAAAAGCTCTTTATCAATTGATTAACTATTAGCTGGATTCTTTATTTTTGCTCTATTTTTGGTTTGTAATAATATTCTCTTTCCCGTTGTGAATAACATATGATTAACGTGACAAAAGTAATAATGCTATTAGTAATTACTTTTAAAATTCATCTATCATAGCGATCATTACAATCACTTGAATTTGGGAGGTTAATAAACTCTTTTGTAGCTCCACATGCAAAGATCATTTTTTTTTAATTCATCAGTACTTTACATTAAATTGATCACAATATAAAAAATTACTGAATAATTGTCTTTGTGGGCCATTAGCTTAATTTGTATATATTATTTGTAGTCTTATTTTCAAATATTGAGTGTCATGGTAATTTGTAGATTTCAAATGGGAGATTGGTCAGGACTTGGTGCGCACATCAAAAATCAGTTTGACATTTTCCAGCGATGATTCATTTCTTATTTCTGGTTCAGAAGATGGCATGATCATTATTTAGCCTATGATCGGGTAAAAAAAGTGATCTTTGTTTTTTCAACAATTTAATGTTTGTATTTGAATGTCGTTTAGTTTTATTTTTTAGGAAAAATAAATAACTGACTTTGTAATCACATTGTTTGGTGGAAGTTTGGTAGATGAGACAGAATGTTTGATTGTGGCTTTAAAACTAAATTTTTCGTTGGAGCTTTCATCCTCTATAACGGGCCTATCAACTGCATCAAGTGGCTCTAGTTCAATTTTTTTATCAGCTCCCTCGATGGCACATGCAAGGTTACTTAATTATGTTAAATGTTTCATAATATATCTTCGTAGCATGAGTATTTTTGTTTCTCGAAATGACTTATTTTCGTATTGTAGGTATGGGACTTGTTACTAGAAGACTTTTACACACTTGAGCTTTTCACTACCAATTACTGCAATAGTTGTTGATCTAACAGAGATGAAGTTTATTTTCTGGTGGTATAGATTACTAATGGATATTTCTCTTTTTTGTATACGGAGGACATCATTTTTGTATGATTATCTTTTTGTATGGAATTATTATTTTAGGTTGGATTATATTTAGTTTGTATGAAATTTGATGTTAAAAGACCAAATTTTTGGATGGTTGAAAGTGAAATAGAAATCGACATATGTATTGTTTTGTTTATATACAGGGTGCAGGTTGCACGAAATAAATACAGGTTGTGTAGAAATTAATAATAATATTAAAAAAAAAAATAACACTAAATAAAGTTTTTGGTGACTAAATGTTTAGTAGCTAAAAAAACAAAATAAAACTTGATGGCTACTAAAAATTTAGTAACCAAAATGTAGTAGTCAAAAATATATAAGACTTTAGGTGACTAAATAGTTTAGTAGCTAAAAAAAAAAAATGAAAATTAAATTTTTTTGGCGACTACATATTTAGTAGCTAATAATAAATGATACTTTGGGCGACTAAAAGTTTTAGTCGCTGAAAATGAAAATTAATTTTATTTAAAAACTTTTGGCGACTAAATATTTAGTCGCCAATTTATGACTTTTGGCTACTAAAAAATATTTAGTCGCCAATACCTCGTATTTTTCCCTACTAAAACATTAGTAGCCATTTATAGGACTTTTGGTGACTAAATTGTTTTTAGTCGCCAAAACCTTCCCCGACCGTTTTCCCGCGACAAATCTAGCGACCAAAATATTTAGTCGGGAAAAGGCTTCGGCGACTAAAAACCTTACTTTTGGCAACTTAAACTTTAGTCGCCAAAAGTGCATTTTCTTGTAGTGTACCTTGCTAAGTCATTTGGGCAATGTAATTATTTAGGTCAAGCTAGTTGTTTGTAGGAATATATTTCTTAGTTGTAGAATTGTGAACCTTGTTCTAATTCTCGTTTTACCTTAGGTGTGGGATGTCCTGGTGCAGCTAGAGTATTAATTTATAATCGCCATTAAGCTGAGAAATATACGTATTTTATGTTATGTGACTGACAATGGTCCCAATTAGATAGTACTTGGTTTCCTTGTTGGAAATTGTCAACCTCTTGTCTTCCAATTTTATCATTGTGTTTGTTTGGTGGTGGTGTCTAAGGTACCTCCTTCATGGACTCTCTTCCTTGGGAAGATGAGCTTGTATAAAGAACATATGTTATTACTACTAGTCTTGAAAGCTAATTCAGGGTGAGTGGCATATGTGTGTGCCTTGACCTTGTTGGCACGAGAAGTATTTTACAGAGAATGTTAGTGTTTTAACTTGGAATTGTGGCTTTTGAAACCTTGTGTATGAACGGTTGATGAGTGGCCTAGGTAGAGTCTTGAGACAACTTTGGGAATGTGATGATAGTGTAACCTCCTGTCTTAGATCGTGATGGTTTTTGTGCTGTAGTTGAGATGGTAGTTGGTACCATTGTGGTGTGACGTGAGTAACTGTAATGCCCTAATATTTTAACCCATTTTATAATTAGCGATCCTTTATTGATCTCCAATTTCACAATGTGAAGAAAGAGTTAAAGAAAAATAATTAAAGTACAGTCATTTCACAAGTCCAATGTTTATCTCTTCTCATTAGATTTTTCATAGAAGTTACATTTCAATTTACAACATTAGTGTTCAAAATAATAATACATTATAGTTCAAGAAATAAAACAAACAAGGGTAGGGCCTTGATTACACACATAAGTGAAATTCTATCCCAAACACAGAAGTCTGGTGACTGTAATCACATAAAACATCCAAAGTGAGCTTCCATGCTCCATCAAGATCTCTACCAATTCCTAGCTAAGTGAAGGTACATCATCACAACCTGAAATGTTTGTTATGATAGGGATGAGTTAATGCCTAGTAGGAATACTATTATTAAGAAATAAAATAATCGAGATGCATATGATCATGTCATGCACTTGTTAGGATAAAATTCATATTTTCTTTTTTAAAACCAAAAATGTCCAATGCATTACCATTCAAAGTCTCATATACAACTATAGGATGGTAAATACACTATGACGTCCCATGCAAAAGCCGCAAAACCATATATACATTTGTGGATTTATATATAGAAAATATTCCCACTTTTGCCGACTCCAAAAACGGCAGGGTAATGGGCACCCAAAACCTTTTCCTTCCACGTTTGCCAACTCCTGAAATGGCGGGCTCGTGGACACACAAAAATCATTTCTCACATTCGTCTGGCGATAAGCTTAAGACAAGGCAATTGGACACATTGAGTTCTCACATGGGTACCAATACCATACACAACTCGTTCCCAAAACCTAACTCCACTACCTAGACTCATACGCTATTTACCTCCTTTGATATTTTTCAAACATCCTCAAGATTGTAAAATCACATGAAAAAAATTATAATGCACATGATGTATGAATTTTCAAATCTAGTTTACTTAAGGTTATTCAATTCATAATAAGATTTAACAACACCAACATCAAGAGATTTCTCCAACTTCTCGATTCCACAATTCCAACGTTCATTTCAATACATGTATCCAAGAAGGTTCACTAAACCTCATGTCTCAACACCATTACCATAATCATTCACCCAATTCCAAGATTTACGAATCAATTGAACCAGGCACCATTATTAAATCAAGATTTACTAGGGTTTTTGAGAAAATTGGGGTTTTCCCTCTTTTACACTTAAGGAGTCAATATTCATCATCAACAACAAAAATCAACAAGAACATTCACAATCTTTCCCAAAAACACGAGATAGAAGCCCATTTGGTTTATCAAACCCACTTTGTATCGCAAAATCATCTCATACATCACTATAACTAAGAAAATACCACATATATATCTCAAATCATAGATATATCAAGTTAAAAATATTCCTACCTCAAGAATGAGAGCAAAGAAGCAAGATTCAAGAACTCTTCACGAAATCGAAATCCAATTGATGAGAATCACAATCTCGACGTGGCCTTCGCTTTTTGCATTGGATCAAGGCTTGATGCTTGGTGAGAAGGAAGATTTCTACAGAGAGAAATTATGATTTTTCGGAGCTTAGGAGAGAAAAAAGAAGGAGGAAAAGAAAAAGTGAAAGAAAAGATCAAAAAAAGTAACTTTTAGTTGTTGATATCGTGCAGACTGCTCAAGTGGTCTTTCCACCGCTCAAGCAGTGAACTCAATCTCACAGCATTTCGGTTTGCAGAGCAAAATACTGGTTGCCCCCTCTTCATTGCTCAAGCGGTGGAACCAACCGCTCGAGCGGTCACCCTAGAAACAACTAGTCACACAGGCTCAATTCCTAAGGTAGTCTCCACACATCAAGCTTATTTCCATAGGTAATCATTTAAGTAAATGAAATATAAATGTATTTACGTAAGTTGACAATGTAAATAAGGAAATACCCCTCATTTGGATTCAAAGAAAAATACAAAAAATAAAAATAAATAAAAACGTGGTTCCCCTAATTTTAGTACAAAAATAATTTTTTGACTGAATGTCAGAACCCCAATTAGTTGGCTATGAAAAGCCATCCCTGTTAGTCACCATACGGATTCATGTTAGTTGAACTGTGTTGAACTTAGGTTTGATCTTGTGGGCCATCATGGTGTTGATGTGAAGTTTGAAGTTGCAACTTTTAGCTTAAGTGTTATTGCATGTTAATTTTGGGAATGTGAGCTAGTTTTCAGCGTGGAATGCATAGTCATGGTTCTGGTGTGTATCTAGTCAAGATAAGTCTGATGCAGACTCAAGAAACATTGTAAGGGATTGTGGCAAGCTCTATATCAGAGCAAAATCACTTTGGTTGGCAATGATAGGTTGTGTAAACCGTGAGTAGGTTTGTTAAGTGCGAGTTATTACCTATCGGAAAGGGAATTGGCGAGCGAGACCATCTTAGGAATTGTTTTGGTCTGGCAACCAGGGTTATGGTTTAGAGTTACCTAGTAGCGTGTTTGGTAATGTTGAATCATGTTTTGTGTGTATTCGTATTCCTTGTCGCCCTTGGAAGGAACCTCTAGTGTGGGAGTGGTTTCGTGGAGTTCCATATTAACTGTATGTGGAAATTCTCATGGACATAGAGATGCCTTGACAATAGAGTTGTGGTTCTCATGGGATGAAAGTCCTAAGTTTCTATTTAGTTCACTTTACATTGTTAATTGTTGTTGTTATTATTTTGTAATTGGGTGTGACATCACCCTAGCATTGGTAAGGTATTAGTCTTCGTGTGACGGTTAACGATAACCTAGTGTGTGTTGTTTGGTGCTACTTCTAAAGAAGGGTTGCTCTCAATGCTTAGAGGTTTGGGATAATCATGTTAAGTTAGCTCTAATAATATTCTTGTATTAAATAATAGAAAGGGTCCATTTGTGGAATGTTATTATCATTCGTGTGTGGTGTATGATGTTCGGGTGTTCTTTGAAGTATTCCTTTACGAACTTTGGTGATGCTTTATTCTCCAAAAACACTTCCCAAAGCCATTCTCATCCTCCTGAAGGCCAAGGAAGAGACATTTGAAGTCATATTCAACTTGCTTGAGGAGGTTTGAGTGCTAAGAGGGGCATTGGAGGAATGCTTGCACCTATGCCCACCATTTCTCATTCTTTTTTGGCTTGAATACTCCAAGCCAAGTGGTATAACCTTCTTATGTTCTTCTTTGCCAATATTTTGAATCAAACCATGTTTTATCTATTTGATAATGGATAGATCCAATGATTTTT